AGCAGCTCGGCCTCGTCCTCCACCAGCTGCAGCTGCTGTCGGAGCTCCGTCTGATCCGAGCCCGCCCCGCCCATGGCGCCGCACCCGGAGCCTCCGGAGCCCTCTGCTTCCCCGCGGAGGTCGTCCAGCTCCGCCCTCAGGCCACGGTTCTCCACCTGTAGGGCGGAGGTAGAAAGGCTCACCGGGCTGGTATTCTAGAACCGAATAGAACCGGGTAGCAATGTCTGCTCTTACCTCCAACTCGACTATTTTCCTCCCGAGGATGTTGGCCTCCTCCTCCACCAGGCGGAGCCGGAGCTTGAGCTCTGACTCCCGGGTGGTGGGCGGACCCCCGGCCTCTCCTTTCGGATGGGTGCTGTCCAGCTCGCCGTAGAAGGAGCGGTACTTCTGCAGCTCCTGCTCCAGACGATCCTTCTCTTTGTCAATCTTGGCCGTCTTCTTTCTCATGAGCACCGCTTCCTCCTTGATGAAAGCTAGCTGGCACTTGAGGTCCTCGTTGTCCTCCTGGAGCGAAGACACATCACACACCCACAGAAATATACGTTTCATTCGCCTGGTTTGAGCCCCTGCGCTGGTCTGTCGTGGTCCCGAGGTGAAAAGCAAATGTTTGCCTTGAGAACAACATGCGAGTATGTGAACCAAACCTGCAGGATCTATGATTTATGTTTGACTCTTATTGACAACTTCTCACAAATATGCACCAAGGAAGCATAAGAGAAAAAGATAAATAATGAAATCAGAACTGCAGATGTTTCTTCAGATACTTCCGGGGGATTATCTCCATTACTTTGGGCAACATGGGTACTTAGAAGAAGTACATTTGTAAAGAAAACAACATGCTTTCACCTCTGTTGGCGTCTGTGCTAATTTCCTGTCTGTCTTCTGGATGTCCTTGCTTCCTCTCCTCTTTTGAGACTGTTGGATGACAGCATACGGAAGCATTAACATGTGAGCACGGTGTTGCGCGTCGCGTGCGGGTACGCATCTCCTCACCTCTTTGGTTTTGTCTAGTTCATTCTGCAGGGCTTGTTTGGTCACTTCGACCTCGATGAGTTTCTGCCTCAGTTTCTCGTTCTCCTCCTCCGTCTTTGTGCGCTTCTCCTCCACCTTCTCCAGCTCGTGGTGCAGCCTCACAGACACATCCTTCGCTACCTGCATTGTTTAGTTATTGTGAGGATTCATCATTTTAGGATTCTTACCTTCCTTTTTAATCATCTCTAATATTTAACTTTACTACCTGCAAGTTCAGCGTCTAAAGCAACAATCGCGATTGTTTTCCCCTGTCGCAGTGGTTACATTTAAAGCTCGCAAACACATCCCTGGGCCGTCCCCATCCCCTCCGCACCTTCAGGTCCTGCTCCAGGCTCCTGAGGAGCTCCTCGTCGACCTCTCCCGTCTGGGCGTAGCGCAGCCTCTTCCTCTCGGCCTTCCTCAGACGATACTGCAGGATCCGGCAGTTTTTATTGGCCCTCTCCAGCTCACGCCTCATCTCCTGCAGCTGACACGTGTCTTCCTCGTAGAATGTGTCCCGCATCTCGTCCATCTCGGTCCTCATCTCCTCGATTTCACACTGGTGGGTGCGTAGTAAAGATTGCGTGTCACATCGCTGCTGTTTGGTCGGCTTTTGACTTTCTTGACTGCAGAGTCAGCGGTGGAGGTTTTGGACTCCAGCCACATATAGTCAGCCTTCCAGATGTGGCAATAACACAGAATTATCTGATTTCAAATGCATTTCAGGACTTCTACCGACACGCCATCTCCCTTTGTCCCCCATTTTAACGGGTGAGATAGTTAATTGATCCTGGCAGTTTGAAATAATCAATAACCAATTAGTCATCTGCAGCCAGTGTATTTTCAATTAAAATCCCAAACTTCTCTTCAGTAAAGACTTGAAAGATGTTGAACAGACATTTCAATCGATGATTACCTATCTGTGGTTCTGCAAACACACAATTAGAAAACCAACATGGATTCACGGCCCTCAGCCTTCATGGATTTCATTCTAATATGAGAAACACTAACGCGGACAGTTTGACAGTGGATTCTGCTGCAGTGATCCATTTCTATCTACAGTCAACATAATCAGGCCCTGCTACAGAAATAAAACCAAACTGTACCGAACCTTAAGATCTTCATTTTCGTCAAGCAGTCTCTCCACCTCGTCCTCAAAGGCCTGGTCCTGCTGTGTCACGGACCCCGCCTCTGTCGCCTCCGCAGCCGGCTGGGGCTCTCTCGCGGCGGCCTCCTCGGTCCCCATGTCCCCCGCCTTGCTTTGCATCCTCGCCCCGCTTCTCCTCAGTCTCTTGTGCAGATGGAAGTGGACGAGCTCAGCCTGTAGGCGACCCCCTCTCCACAAACCGAACCCGAGGCCCGCGCCGCAGCCGCCCCTCTCCCCGCGGCCTCCGTCCTCCCCGCGTGTCCTCCCTTCCTCCGCCGGCGGAGACGAGCCTCTGCCGGGCCACGGGCGCCGCGAGGAGTCTCCCGCGAGGCACGGCAGGCGCAACGCGCGGCGACGGGCCGATGCCGTGGAATCCGTCCGGTCTTCCCCGACAGCATCCGCCCCAGTCGGTCCGACCGCACCAGCTTCAGCACCGTCCGGGTGAACAGCTGCACCGCCGCGGCTCTCGGGCTCCCCCTCCCTTCCGTCGGCGGACCTCAACCCGTCCCTCGGCCTGGCGGCGCGTCCGCTCCTTCCCGCGGGCGGAGGAGACCTGGTCCTGGCTGGGGGTCGCGGAGCTCGCTTGGTGGCCCCTTGGTGGGCGGTAGCCGGCGAGGGAGCCCGCTGCTGCCTCCTCCTCCCGGCGCTATTGTCCGCCGGAGATGCTGACGATGACGATGACGGTGACGATGATGATGATGATGATGGTGATGGAGGCTCTGCAGCGCCGCCGCCGGCAGGTTTCATCTTCTACACTGAAATAAACTGCGCTTTACTTTCCTTTAAAAGGGAAATGAGTGCCTGACATAAAGGGGATTTCACTAAGTGAATAATATTAAACATTCTTCAACCGGAGTCTTAACTTATGGGAAGATGCTTCACGCCACTAGAAGCCGCTGTTCTTCTAGTGGCTCAACCATAACTTACCTAATAACTTACCCATAACTTACCCATAACTTACCTTAACGTGACATAACGCGCACGGTGCAGCGCCTGGACTAAACCATCCTTCCTAAACAGGCTGCACTTCTTACCGCAGAGGACTCAGGAGAGACACGGGGCACCACCAGGCAGTGCAGGGGCACTGCGTGTGACGTCACGACCTACGTCACACCAGGAAGTGCCCCCCCGCCCTCACTCCAACGTTTCCCCTCTCTTTCACACTTTAACACTTAACACGCAGACGAACTAACTGTTTTCAATGAATCACTGACAACATGTTGCACAGACAGAGTTAGAGACTAAACCTCGGAACCTCAAGTTCTAACGAAATGAAGTACTAACTAATACTTGACTTGGATACATCGACCATGAAAGCAGTCGAAGGTCTTTCTTGTCTTGTGACGCTCTGACAGGTTGTTTAGTCGATGTCGGTCTGTTAGAGTACAGACTTGTGTGGCCGTTTCAGTGACATCATAGGAACAAACGCTGTAAGAATGTGCTCATGCTAAACCTCACCCACTTTTGCCATCATTTAAAATCACACCGTGGGCCCGATGCACGTCGTGCTACTACACCCGGGCCCAGAAGAGGGAGCCCAGCGCCCGTGAACCGGGGGCCGGGGCCCTGAGGGTAATCTGCCCCACAGAGAGCCAGTAAAACGCTGACTGTTTCCACCCGGTTAGGATAGAATGAGCTCCTTAGTCATTTAATTGCTAATGAGATGAGTGAGTGATGGGTCAGGTTTGGAGAGATTTAACCCCCTGAAACCTTACCCTTCGCCCTCTGTTGGACCCCTCTCAGCAGGCCGGATGGGTTTGTCCACCGGCAGTCCTCCAATGAAACCACAGGCCTGCTTTCATTATTAGACGCAGGGGACGAGTTTGGGAACTGTACATTTCTGTCGCACGTTTTCCTGCGTTTGGATATAGAAACGACTCCGTTGTCTTCGGCCCGCAGGTTGTAGTGACCTGTGCTAAAGGCTCTCGGTAGAAAAGCCGTGGCCCTCTGCAATCCTCTTAGGCTCTGGCTTAGATCCCTCTGTGTCCCCATGGAGGACAAACACTCCTCCTCTCACTCATCTCCCCCGGCCTTCCATCCACACCTCCACCCGTACACACCTCCACCCTCGTGCCACGCGCTGCACCATGTGTGCTGTACTGTACGTTCGAAGGTGGAGGATGCGGGAAAAAACTGGACAAAATACCCAGTGGCCTTATCAGGAATAACAGATGTGAGGCATTTGGACAACGGGATTAATTTGGAGGTGTAATTGTCTAAAAGACGCCATTAGTTGATCCACAAGGGGGTGAAGGAGCGATGGGAAGTTTGTCGCAGGTTAACGTAGAAAAGGTGTCTCGTGAGGATGAGGAGGAGGGGTAAAGTCTTTTAGATTAAATTCACAGGTAATGTCTGTTGCACTATTTCATTTTTAATTGGTTTGCTAATACTTGGCGCCAACAAATGTACATTTGTCATTCGCCCGGCCTGTATTGTACAGTCACTTGCACAACGGACCAACACTCTAAACTACACGGTGTGAGAGCTACAGGAGCGACTTCGCTGCAGATTAGCGAAGGCTTCTCTCCCAGTGACCTGCTTTCCAGGGTACCTCATGGAGTGACGTGGAAGTAAGCTCTTTTGGAGCTAAAGCCAATTTACCCCCAAAGATTAGGGCAGATCTGTCTGGACGTGCCTCTGACTGTCACACACACACACAGCTAGAAGAGATCCCTCCATCTTCTCAGGGTGGAAGACGGATGAAGGAAGTAGAGGGAAGGAGAAACAAAGGCTTTGTCTTTAGATTAGGCTCCTAATGCAGGACAGCTTGTGCTGTATGTTGAGCACGATGTCGCTTTAGGGTTAAACTAGCTGATTTACAAAGAGACACAAACGTAACCTGTGGGGTGCTGACATTGCCTTTATTTCAGTTCTATTTGCAGCCAGAAGCTGTGTAGCTTTCATTCTCATTAAGACAATGAAATAACCATTTGTTTTCTTTAGAAAAAAAAGAAGAAGAAGAAAAAGTGTCCTACATGGCAGAGACAATATTCAGCTGAGTTTTTAATCTCTTATTTTTGCACCTCGCCTACATTGCAGAGCAAAAATAAATAAATCATGAGGACGCACAAACAATATTAAAAGAAAGATACCCACACGTTTGCATAAATGAAATAAAACTACAGTCCCCCTCCCCAAAGTCTTTTTCAAACCACATTATTAATTAACAAAGATCCCAAAGAAAATGTGTAATTGTGTAAATGCGTGACAGTTAAGTTTCAGACAGCAGAAGGTCAATACAAGAGTCAATGCAGTAAATGGCAGTTGTCTTAATGTGATTTTTTAACATCTGCTCATTTTTCTCAACTCTGATTATGAGTTAACATACATTTACCGGCCGAACCAAGAAAAAATGCATGTGCATGTTGTTTTGTTGTTAATAGTTAAATTCATTACAGCTCTTATAGAGCGCTAGAAAATAAATTAGCATATTAAAGACTATTTAAGCTTTCAGTTAAATCAATACTGGAATCCAGAGTACAAAAGTTGGAGGGGAAGTTTGGTCGATAAGTTACTGGATGCTGAGCAGATTGTAGGTCCTATAATATTTGGGTCCCATTACGGTCCAACAGCCAGTTGGACAGAAGAGCATAAATGATCAGCATCGTTCTCCTGATGGATGGACAACCAACACCCCTCTCCTCCTCTCACAACCCCTCACAGACACAAACACACACTGCTACCCTTCCACCTGTCCAGGTCGGTCACAAACCACATTTTCTACACAACGTGCGGGGATGGTGAAGCCCGTCTGGTTCCTGCTCATCCCCGCCCTCCTTCTATCTTCCTCAACACGACTGTCCTTTTTTTGTTTTTGTATGTTTATATGTATTCACTGAGCAGCCGTTACTCCCTTTTCGCTCTCCCTTTCTTTTGCCTCCTGCCGTTCTCCTCCACCTCCTCCGCCTTGCTGTGACCGTTGGCTACCGCGCAGCTGCCGTTGGCCGCGGGCTTCCCTCCCTTCAGCCCGGCGGGTTTGCGCCGGTAAGCGTGGTAGTAGAAGTTGGCGAAAAGGATGATGAAGGTGACGGCGTAGCCGATCAGGGCCCACTGCATCCAGGCGGGGAACGGGCAGCCCGTGTAGAGGGAGTGGCCGGCGTGGCCGATGGTCACGTGGAACTGGATCTGTCCGACAAACAGAACGTAGGCTCACGAATCGAATCAGTGCTAATGAAACGGTGTCCTTTCTAAGGTTATTTCACAAAAACAATATAAAAGAAATGCATGAAAAATGATAAAACACCCACCATCTGAATGATGGTGAGGTATTTCTTCCACCAGAGGTACTTCTGCATGTGAGGTCCCAAAGCGGCCAGGCCGTAGTACCCGTACATGAGCACGTGGATGGATGAGTTGATGGTTGCACCAAAGAACGCTGTGGAGAGACGAACGGTTTGCATTCTTCTTATTAAATGTAAATGCCTCTTCACAGGTGGCAGACAGACGACGTCCATCTGATGGCGATTGAGGCCCCGTTACTCACACTGTCCCCCGGGGACCCACTTGATGCCGATCCACCAGAGGATGAACATGGTGCAGTGATGGTAGACGTGGAGGAAGCTGACCTGGGTGAACTTCTTCCTCAGGATGAAGAAGACGGTGTCCAGGAACTCCACTCCTTTGGAGATGTAGTACCACCAGAGAGCAGATGCTATCTGGAGACGTCAGACAGGGGGGGGGGGGGGGGGGGTGAACTACTGCGGCTCATGTCGCACACTGACAGCATCCATGTGTGTTCTTCCACTGAGCTGCTGCCTCCTCGCAGCACACGGGCACATGGTGCACACGCGTGCTCTCTGATCATGCCATCGGGAAAGAGCAGCGCCCTCCGGTTGGGAGACGGGGGCGGCTCGTCCCGCCAGGTGACACCAATTACTCCCGCCTACGTGGCTGCACGCCGCACCCGGTTTGCACTGAAAACCTCCTTTTACCCCCCCTGGCTAAACTAAACACACACGTCACGGCGTTATTTTGGCCGCCTGCGTCCAGAGGCGCGAGCTCACCCTGACTTCGTTGACGTCGTCGGAGTAGCTGACGGGCTGACAGAGGTAGCTGTAGCCGGCCGATCGGGAGGCTAGTAGGAGCTGGTGGGAAGAGAGAAAGCAGAAACCTCAGAGTCATCCCCATGGACGCACTCCTCTTCTGAAGAAACCCGTCTTGCAGGAGCTCGAGCGAGAGGATGTGTGGAGAGAACAGCCGCACACGCAACTGGTTTCAGCCACTAAAATGGTTCAACTGCGAGTGACGTCTAGTCGTTAAGTGGTAGTTTTGCCTAAACGTTTCTTTCCTTTCGTGTTTTCTGTGTGAGCAACAAGTCGAATCAAACATGGACCACGAGCCGGAGTTGAGCACATCGGTCTGTGCAAGATGTCTCGTGCATTTAACATTAAAATGTGACGTTTCTTCGCCGCGCAAAAGTCGACAGGTCCTCACCTCTTTGGCGATGTAGAAGTTGAGGACCACCATGCTGAAGTTGTAGACTATGAGGGTCTTCCTGAGTGTGTAGGGCTGGCGGTCCTGCATGTATCTAGGCCCCGCCCACAGGAAGAGCAGGTACAGGCAGCTGATGGCCAGGGTGGGGATGGGAGACGACATCATCGGCCAGCCTTCCACCCTCTTGTCTGGAGGAAACGAGAGGGATGATGGTTGGACGACGGAAGAACGGTTAGCGTGAACACACATCCGATGCTACAATATGACACCTTCTGATGAACAGCTTTGGGAAAGTACTTTTGGGGTAATAGTAAGTATGTACATACCAACGTTATTGTAAAGAGACGAGGACAATAGCAAACACTTTTTTTACTGACTCTTCGCCGCAGTCATGCATGATATTTTTAACAGAAATATTTCAGTCAAACTGGGCGGTTTTCTGCCCCCGATGTGAATGAAATCTTACACGACAATGACAACAGCAGCTCCAGGAACAAGTGATTATAAAGATCTTACCTGCTATAGTAAGGCCCCATTTGTAAAATTCTACCGTGTCATTCAACAGATGTGTTACAGCCTCCATGGCTCTTCCTTTGGTTCCGGATTATACTGAGAAAGAGGGAAAGAGACGGAGGCAAGAGAGGCGGCGTCAATGAGAGTCACCCAAATGAAATTACAGGCCATGGGTCTCCTATCATTGTAACTGGAAGCATGAGGAGCCACGGCGCGCAACAGCGCCATGTGTCACTCCCCGCGTAAACCCTTTCAAACGGGTGGAACGTCGTTAGCTCGCGAGTGCTGATGTGCACATATCTGTCGTGCTGACCCCCAAAACGATTACAATCTGCAGCTTTGCATCATGTGGCCAGTGGAAGCCTTTTAGAGATCTGCTCGGCACCATCGGGCCGCGTCATAGCTGCTACAGAGTAGAACGACAAACCCAATTAGAAATGAATGGGGGCCGTTGTATTGCATTTACACCGTAGCATTGCTGCAGATACCAGCACGCTGGACTTGATTCCCATGAAGAATCCGGCCAGTGGCAACAGGTTGAGACAACTGCAGGTTAACGTGTTGTCCTCTGCTGCACATTCCTCTCGTTCATGTGGAATGACACCGAGTCCATATTTCAAAAACCTCCTTTATCTTTAATATCTTTAACAATGTAATGAATTAATCGTCTACTACATGACGAGAGAAATGTGCACACGATCGACTGTAATTAAGCAGCATTGTATTCTTCTTATGCGTGTCTCCATACGCATGTATTATTAATCCGATGCGTCGCATCGGATCCCCGTTCAATAATTAACGGAGTAACGCGTCTCTCCTCTCGCAGGACTCCCCGCCGGGCGTTGGTTGGGGGGCGCGCGGCCGGAGCGGGTTAACCGGGTTTGTGCGCGCGCACGAAAAGACGCGTGTGTCAGCGGGTTTCAAGAGGCTTAAATTCAATTGATCAACGAGCTTAGATGTAAGTACGAACGCCCGGCGGCCCACGAGCCCGTCCGATGGTTATCTCGCCTGCATGTGCTAAAACAGCAGGAATGGAGAGTAACAGTTTTATGTGCATGACAACAGTTGTTGCAATGAAAGTCTTTCCGATTTGTTTTTTGATTTGCACGTATTTTGTATGAGGGATTTAAGGTAAATTCAAATGCAATTAAAATGTTTTCTTCATTTCGAAACAGTTGAGATCGAGGGGGGAAATAAGAGAATGACTTTAACCAGCGGACTATATTTAAAAAAAACCGCTGTGAAAAGTGTCTCCGGGACACGTAGAGATGATTGACAACGTGGACAAAGGGCTGCGCTGCTTTCCCACCGCGGTGCCTGAATTAAGCCCCAGAATGCGGCGCCGCGCCGGGGAGGAAAAAGACACGAAAGAACGCGGAGGCAGAAAGAAAGAAAGCGTTTAGGAAGCCGGATATAAAAGTAAAGCTACACACGTAGAAACCGCTACTTACGTGCTCGATATTTAACAGCGTGTAATGACATCCGGTGCAATTTGATGCCAAACTCCTCTCAGTCACTCGCTGCTCTCCGTCTCCTCCTCCTCCTCCTCCTCCTCCTCCTCTTCCTCCTCTTCCTCCGGCCCGTTACTGCTGATCGGTCTCCGCGCCGCCCCGGTGACACATCGACATCAACACGGCGACTTCAGGCCAGAAACTCCACGAGGGGAAGCGGAAATAAACGTCTCCGATGGGGCCCGTCGTGCGTTCAGTCCGCGCCGGCCGCTCAGCCGCATCTTCTTCTCCCGATCACCGGGACGCGCAGCAGCCGGGCGCCACTGCGCATGCGCCGCGGTCTCTCGCGTGTCTCCTGCGCGTGTGCTTGGATCTCTCTCCCCCCCCCGCCGCGTGAAAAGAACGACTTTAGCATTACTGTATTTCTGTATATATGGTTAACTGTAGCTAAAGCGTGTAATGCATCTATAATAATAATAATAATAATAATAATAATAATAATAATAATGATGATGATGCTAATAAAGAGGAACGTGTTTGCGCACAATGGACAGACGGTTTTAACGGGTTGTCCCACCAGATGGCGCTGTGGAGCTTTAGTTGGATCTTCTACCTCCGGATGGAGGAAACCTGACCAGCTGTGTTTCCCTCCGTGTGTTTGCATGATGGTACAATTGGAACCTTTTTCTTTAGTGGGACTGTGCTCTCTTTCGGGGGGAGGTGCTATTATCCCAATATACATGGCAGTGAATGAATCCAATCATTGGCCGAAAGCACGTCATATCCGATACGATAGGTGGCGCTGTTTTCACTAGTCGTGTTACAGCCATTTCCGCTTGACCTCTTCACCACCACCAACAACAACAACAACAACAACAACATCAACATTAGGAGAAAGATGGCGAGCGGAGAGCGAGGTGAAGCTACGTCCCTCTATTGTCTGTGCGTGATGCTAATAGGAGCACAGCGATTTGATAACGAAGAGAAGACGCCGTCGGGATCTCAAGCATCCAGTTCCTCATCCGATTCACCGTTACATGCCGCGATAGTCGAACTACCAACCGGATCGGATGGAGTTATCCAGGGGTGTTAGTCGGGTCGTAGTCGGACAAAGGTGTTTACATGAAACGGATCATTCGATTTCAGTCCGACTGAGCCAGTTATTGGAATCCATGTAACCACGCTGACTGAGGTTCCACTCAAGTGTCCCCAAACATCCTGCTAAGGCACCTCGCACTTTGCCTCTGACCTATTTGCCGTGTGAACCGGGCCAACTAAGGGTCAACGTACGTGAAGCATGTTCACATCTGTGTGACGGGTCGGGGCCTCACGCACATCCAGGGTCTTTTGGGCGCTGCCATTTTAGAGCCCCTGGTTCCTTTAGAGAGGCTCTATCCTTGTCCTGTCCGTGAGCTACAGACTGACAGATGCAGGCGTGGCCCAAAGTAAAGTTACTTTAATATAAATAATGCAAAATTGGTCACCTGCAGCCTCCATGCTCATGTCTTTGGTAAATACTGCCGCTGTCTACATATGCAGCCTAAACTGCCGCTGGTAACACCTTCCTTTGGGTGGGGCAGGTTACCAAGTTGGGTTTCCCCCTGCGGAGGACTCGCGGCCTCCTCGGCGTCGATGTGTGAGCGCGACACAAGTTGAGCGCTCTGCTTCAGTGTTTTCAGATCTCTCGCCCTGTTGGCACAATGTTGACCATACTTCCCCGCACACACACACACACACACACACACACACACACACACACACACACACACACACACACACACGTTCATATCTGTGTGGTCCTTCAGTTTGGCGAGTTCAGAATGTGGTCGAGGCAGAACGCGAAGGAGGTACGTTGGCCTGTAATGAGAAATGTCTGCAGCTCCACCGACCACATCAGGACGCGTTGGCTGCAGATCGCTGAGGAAATACACTTAATATTAGAACGGCCCTGAGTGCTGCACGGCTCTCGGCTACGTCTTTGTGCTTTTGTGCCGCTCACTGTGTGCACCGTGTGGGAACCGTCCCGTTGGTGCTTGCTGGGGTCCGTGGTGTTGTATTTGCATACTTTCTACACGTTAAAGAAAATTGATTTGTACGACGTCGTATTTATTGAGATATGATTCAGGATGAAGTCCTACAGAAAAACGTGGAAAGATTTGAAGACAACGGACGAGTCGGATCATTTTGGACGCGTTATGTGGGGGAGAAATGAAAGTAAAGAAAGAGGAAACACAGCGTTTTGTCATATTCAGATTGATTTGACCACTTTCATGTAGAACCGCAAGAACAACATTCAATATTTGTTAACCTAAAAGGCCGTATTGGCCTTATAACTGTAGCAAAGGTTCATCTGGGCTTCATACACGTTCAATATTCTCATAGGAGAAGCATGTTTGTTGTACCAGAGAGTTTTGATCATCTTTTTACCCGCAGCGTTTAGAGTGTGAAATGTCGTCGAAGCGCTTCTCCGAATGTCATTTCAAATGTGTCAAAGTGTCTTTGCAGCAGAGTTTCAGTGTCAGAAGCTGGTGACTGAACTTCCTGTTTTCATCCTTCCTATTTTCTTCCTCCGCTTCTCTCTTTATTTTCTTTTTCATTCCGGTCCCGTTCGGTGTTTTCACGGCTTGTAAAGTCAGCGCCTGTACATCCTACAAGCTCTTTATGGTCTCCATAACCGCTCCATGTACTGTATTTCATTTGACATCAGGGCACGGTAAACACTTCACCGCTTCACAGGCGTCTCTTTGTGCCCGACAGAAAGCATCCATCAGTCATATTAGCTGGTGCTTTCACGCTCCCCCAAGATCTCTGTCAAGGAAATGTCCTTCTGCATTCACAGCCCACCACCTGGGAAGAACCACTTACCTCTGGAGCGGATTAAAAAAAAAGGTGAAAAAAGAAAAGCCTTTTGGGAAAAAGCCTAATGGGGTCATTTCTCTCACACGGGCCTCCTGTTACTTTGTGGTCAAATGCTGGCGACTCTTTGCACATGCAGAAAAAACTCACCCAACAGGCCATTGTTGGTGACTATATATATATATTTATATATATTTATCTCAGTCAAGGTGTAATCACAAAGCCCTGCTCCTGTTATCCACACATGCAGACAGAAAATCACAGGCTTCTGGAGATTTAGCTCTTAAGTGTGTGCAGAAGATATACTTACTTTCCCCAATGGTTCCTCTGCGTGTATCGACTGTAGCTTAGCATGCATGTGAACTCGTGTGTAAATAGACAAATCTCCGCACAATGCACATTCATCCCAAGCTAGATCGTTTGTCGTATCGGGTTAAACCCAGTGGATTACATCAGAAAAGTGCAACGGTTTCCCAGTAAAGGCGGAATTCAGTGTCCTTTCATAAGTGCTCCTGGCCTCACTGCAGTTCCTCCAATTGCATCTAATTGCCATGAGTCATTTTGTTTTTCTGTTGTTTTGTAATCTGGATTAAGTCCTTTTGCACCGTCGTCTTTTCATACGGTTTTCATTTCAAAGGCTGATGTGTAACTCTCCTCATTCTGCAGTCACAGCTTTTGCCATTTTTTGAGGGTAACTTCCCATAAAACCAGGATTTGAGCTGCACACATTTGCATGTCCTCTGCACGTGGACACACATACGGTGTCCCGTCCTCCCCCATCCAGTCTTCAGTCTCTCATCTCTCTCCCAGTTGCTCTTCTCTTTTTTGTCCATGCACACTGTTGGGTCGGCCTTCTGCATTGTTATTTAGATCTATGGTTACCAACCAGGTGGGAACAGTGGGACGTATCAGCAGATCTGACTTGAATTTCACCATAAAGTCAAAACATGAGGTTAAAAAGAAATGAAGACGACAAACAAACCAAATCCAGGGAGACGACAACAGGGAGAAAGAAGGAAAAACTGCTGCAGAAGTATAATTGTCCTGATATTTGATCCTGAGTTTAAAAGGAGAGTTAACTGAAACCAAACAAATAAATGGTCTCCATAAGCCTTTATTTTTTCCATGCGGAGGATATTTCTTCAACCTTTTCAAATCGAGGCTGGTTTTACAGCCTTGCCGGATCGTAAACGCTGGTGGACACGGATGTAGGTGTTAGACGTGGATGAAGTATTAAATCTCACGCACATATTCATGTATGTGCTGAACACGGCGGTCCAACTTGGTGTCAGACTGTGCATTTGGTCCGTCTCTACTGAGTTGGACTCGGTGTTCCACTTTCCCCTGGATTAGACTGAGCGGTGTCACACATTCGTAAACCTTTAACCTGCAGGACGGGCTGCTTGCAGTTATACTAAACCGACACATTGCAGCGCTTCAATACCACAGGAGACAACAATGGACAAACAGAGTGGAAACAAGGGATTATTTAACACGGCCTTTGTGTTATCAGGCAAACCTTACACAGGAAGCCTCAGTTAATCATTGCAGAAAGACAAATATGACGCGCAGCTCCAGAGAAGTGAAGATGAAATGCAGACGGGGCTTCTTGAAATAAATAAAAGAAACAGCAGTAATTATTACATCTCGCGTGCAGGGAGGGCCGACCGACCGTATCATTTAGGACGGTGAGTATTATAATTATCCCCAGCCGTTAATCTCCGAGCTGAATGGTTGACTCAAGCGTGGAGGCTGAACTAACCCCTTCAGGAATCCTCTTCCTCAGCGACAAGTCACAAGTTATTAGGGGTCTGTTTTGTCTCAGCATTTGAAAACACACACATGTGCACATCATGGGATGATCTTTTACTGCTGATAGCACGTAGCAAGGAGCCTCCATGGGCTGCTGCACCGTTTGTATTGCCTCTTGAACCTCACCGATGACAGATAATCATGGACATATTGTCTGTCTGGCTTCTTTTCCTCTGATGAAATCGGAGTCTTTCGCTCTGAGCTGCGGCCTCGGTTAGCGAAGGAATGACTTTCATGGTCCCGGTTTTGGCTGCAACGCGACCCACGCGGCGTCCCAAAGAAACGGTTGCTTCATGCACTTAATGAAAACCGGGTGTGCAAAATATCCGCTTGTCATTGGTTAATATTACAGAGATGGATTTCCGTCTGAAGTAAAATGTAACGATCTGGTCCTGCGTTGATCTGAACGTCCTTTGTAGCCACATCGCCGCGTCACCAGGCTGAGTTCAAAGTACATTTGATTACAGCAGCAAATGGACCCAAATGACCACGTGTAAAGATCCACTTGTTATTCCACAACCGACCCTTTTATATGACGTAAAACACACCGCCAGAAGCTCCTCAGAACCCACTTTATGCTTCTTTACACCGTCTTATGGTCATGCACCACTTTCAATGCGAACAATACTTTTGCCTGTCGTTCAGAATA